CTCTATACAACGAAAGGAGACTGCGACCACACAAAAGGCCACACCATCTTGGTCTTCATACCTTTAATTTCCAAAATGTTTACCGTTTCTTCCAGGCCTACTAGAAATTATCATAGCAGAATTAATTAAATAAGATCATATCTTCCTATCCAATTCGATTGAGACCTACTGGTGTTTTTGATAGTTGAGTGGAGTGATAGTCTGTGTCTCCAGGATGTACACTACCCGTGGATGTCAAATCTGCAGTCCAGGCGGGATTAGATTGACGCTTTGGAGGCAATATCGAGTAAACTGAATTTGCATCCGGAGGCCAACTCAGTTTATTATGAGAAAACCTAGCTCTCTGTCCTTAAATCAGTCTAAACGACCCAGGCAAACTCAAAAATGAATCATATTCTTGAAATCTTCTTACATCGAAAAGAGGCAGAATCTCATTCTTGCAACGGTCTTACAAGAAAACCAACCCAGATGCTATGCCTTCTCAGAACAACTAGACTAGCAACAGGAACTGACTAAAAAGAGTTGTAGAATGGATTTTTCGTTTCCTTTTAATGTCAATCGAAGTATTAAGGCTTGATTTAACGCCAACGAGTGGATACAAGAGTGCATCCAGGCCCGATAGCACCAGTAACAACTTTGAATAATTAGAAGTGAGTGTAACGAGTCAGTCTAGAGTCTTCAGGGTTAAAGGGTGCAGAGCCTGAATTCGGGTGTACTTCTAGTCGAGTTACTAAGCGTAAAGTTTGTCTGAAAAGAATATGAGTATAATAATCACCAATTGAAATGCCTTAATTTTGTAGGGGATTCAACACCCCCCTTCTCCTTAAGTCACTATAATCACATGCGCCACTTCGCATTCAAGTCTTCAAGCACATGAATGTACGTAACGAAGGCCTACTAAATGTATGCCTGCGTAACTTGAACCCCATCTGATTTGTTTAAAAAATAGCATCGAGCCCCTCGGCGAGCATTTGATTGGCTAAATAGTCGCGTTCTCGAATATTCTAAAAACCACATACCTGCCTTGATAGATAACTTTTTCAGTTTACCCATGTTTTTGTGTACCATGCCGCCCGACCGATTGTAACGGCCGACTAGATTGTCATTCATCTGCCAGATTTATACCAGAGGAGGCCTAGCTACTACTCATGAGTAGTTTTCACGAGGTTAGGGCCACTGCATGTGCTCGCCAGTCCTAACCGCCATCTTTCAGTCGTTCGCCAATCGTCAGACTCGGACGCCAGGTTTCCACCCGCATCCGAGACAACCAGTGTGTATCTAAGGTCTGTGGCATAGTTGATGAGGAAAATGAGACTATCTCCAGTACACGGTGGCGGATGGAATTTGGCCCGTCGAAAGTGAACCGGTACCGGTGCAGTCATTTGTGTTAAGGCCGAACGATGATGGAGCGAAGCAGAGCGGGCCATAATTTGGTTGGGCTGACCTACCAGCCGCTTTCGTGAAGTGAATAGAGACAATTTCCGTTCGATAGTTGATACTTTAGGCCTGGCCTAGACACTAATTTGTGGACTCAACATTTACTTAGTAGGCCAAAACTCTACTTGTGAACCGTGTCGCAAGCTCGCTTCAGAGTGTGGTCGGTTGTCTTGACCCCCGTTGAGAGGACACCTGTTTCAGCTGTACTGCTGTACCACTGTACTTAAATTACCATGGCAACTTGTCTAAACTCTATCAGTTGTAGAATAAATACTTCGAGATTTAGTAGTTTTAGAAATAATAGTTGAATTTTCGCATCAAAATCAGCCTCTCATCACAAAAAGCTTATCTCCTCCAATTGGGACCGCAATTCCAACGGTATCCGAGCCCGACTCATGCGTATCGTGGCACCGCCACCACTCCACGAGACAACCTTA